TCCACCCCACCCCCTCCCCCATAAAGATATAATCCTCAGAAATGTGATGCAAAGTCAGAGTTTGAACTGACTCTATGGCGATGTTTTTTACTTTTGGTACCATTATAAGCATTACAGTGCAATTGCTTTTCTAGAAGAGAACTGAGGGACAGACGTTTCATGCAAGAAGCTCTTGTATTTGCTATGCTTTCAATAGTCTGCGTTATGCAGATGACACAACCCTGCTTGCTGAAACTGAGGAGGACCTGAAGTGCTTGCTGCAGAAGGTCAAGGACTGCAGCCTTCAATATGGATTGAGGCTCAACATCAAGAAAACAAATATTCTCACCACTGGGCCAGTTGGCAGCATCATGACCGATAGTGAAGAAATTGACATAGTTAACAGCTTTAGTTTGCTTGGCTCCACAATCAACACTCTTGGAACATGCAGCCAGGAAGTTAAAAGACATATTATGATGGGAATGTCTGCTGTAACGGACCTCTCCAAAGTACTGAAGAGCAATGGTGTTACTCTGGAGACTAAGGTGCCCTTGATACAGGCCATGGTCTTTGCTATCACTTGCTATGCAACAGAGAGCTGGACAAGGACTAAGGATGACAGAAGGAGAATTGATGCTTTTGAGCTGTGGTGTTGGAGAAGAGTATTGAATATATGATGGACTGCTAAGAAAATGACTAGGTTCATCCTAGAGAGGGTTAAACCACGCTGCTCCTTGGAGGCAAGGATTCTGGAGCTTCATCTGACATATTTTGGTCATGTTGGAAGGAGGGACTAATTTTTGGAGAGGGACATCATGCTTCGTCTATGAGATGTATTGATTCTGTGACTAGGGTAATGGGGGTAGGTGTGTCAGAGACAATAAGATTGGCACAGGATAGGGCAGGATTTAGGGCTGTTGTACAAAGAGTTGCTATGAGTCATAGGCGACTCAACGACACATAACAACAACAACTTTGATGATTGGGATTTTTGGTCTCTATTTAACCACAGGGAGCTCTGGTTACCTAGTGGTAAGAAGCTGCACTGCAATCCCAAAGGCACGTAGTTTGAATCCACTGCTCCCTGGGCAGAAGGGTGGGCAATATTCACCCACATTCTGAAAACTTGCTGGACGGTCAGCTATGAGTCGATTCCAATGTAATGACCCATACACAATAACAACAACTTAACCACAGGGGACTGCGGATATAATACATGTTTGATGTTACCCGAAGAGCTATTATATAGCGCATGGTTGTGAATATGTGCGCGCGCGCACACACACACACACACACACACACACACCTTCCTCGAGAAGAATAATCTGAGACCAGCAGTTAGGTGACAAGCAATTTTATTTTGCAAAACAATCACTATACAGCAACAAATACATTTGCAAATTTAATTGAAAAACATGAACTAACTACAACCTGCCATTGAAGGAGTGCCTTTCTATGGTAACAAGGCTTTAGAATTTCAGAAGAAAGAACCCCCCCCCCCCAGATTGGTAGCGGCTCGTTGGAACCTTGGAATCCCAGCATACAGAGTATATGTTTTGTTTAATTTTTTTTTTCCTTTTTGCTAAAGTTGAAGTAGATTTTTCTGACTGACATGTTCTAAGTTTAAAAAGAATCTTTTTCCTGCAGAGGGACTTGGCCTCAGCGTGCACACCCAGACCAAAAATTCTTGGTGTGAAAATGCACATCAGTCTTGGAAGGACTGCCTAGAATTTCCCTTTGCCAAGCAAACAAAAATGTTTTGCAACTTAGACCATGAGTGGTTTCTTTTCCTTCTTTATGGAGAATGAAAAAAAAAAAACAAAAAACAGGAGAAAACCTGTATGTCCAGCTATGAGACCGTCAACAACAGTTTCTTTGATGACGTGTTCTATTTTGGTTTATGATCCCACTTCCTGCTTTGCTGTGACTTGAGTGTATGCAGAAGGCCGGTCACAAACATTCTCTCATTAAAATGTTCTCTCTAGCCTTCTTCAGTCATACCTACCTCATGCTACACAGGGGTCTTTTTAGTTGGGTGGGTCTTGGCCCATCACCCTGCTGGAATGCAGCAGGTGAATCCAGAGAGAGTTGGTTCCTAAATGAACCTGGCCTTAAAACTCATCATGAACCTGGATCTTTCCTGCATCTTTGTAAAGTACCCAATTTTCAGTTGCAGGTGACCCAAAGAGAGTGAGTTCATTGAAGAAGTTGGCCTTTTAACTCTTTACCTTTCTGGATTACTTCTGTATTCTTAAACAGGTTCTCAAAAGCTAACGCCCAAGAGAACTCGGCATTGGTAGATCTAGAATTAGAACTCTGAAGTTTTAATATCTAGATCAGCGTATGTGTGTCCCCACAAAAGTGGTGCTCAAAAAGCTTAATGCGTGTCGTTATCTTAAGAGTAAAGGCAAGATGGGCTCCACACCATATACCCATGAGAAGACACTCAGCCTGTGTGACATTCGTTCCTTCTTCACCAGAGCAAATTATCCATTTCTCCTGATTAGAACCTCAATTCCATGTAAAGCAAAGGAGTTTATTCATCATGATAACTTTACTGTGATAGGGAAGAAATATTTTTGCAGTGTCACATCTAGTAATTTAGTGACTAACAAACTTGATTTTGAACACTTGTTTTAAAGAAACTGCATTACAATATTTTGGGGGTATTCACTTAATTTTTATATATATAAAAAATCAAACCAGGTTAAAAAATTATTCATTTACAGGTGGAAATTGTTCTATCCAATTGTTAACTTCTTTCTAGAGAACTTTAACGACTAGCTAACACCTATCAAGACATGTAAGAAAATATCATGAGTCTCCACACAACCATTTCTTTTTTCTTCTATTTTCTGGTGCGTTTCAAGGGAAGCTAATGAATAAACTGCCTAGGTGAGTCAAATTAAACGTCAATGCAATCACAAGGCATCTATAGTCCTACTTGGCAGTTTCTACATTTTAAACTCTTGCATAATACCACAGATGTTTAAATGGCAGTAAGTGATGTTTACCTTATGCGAAATCTCCAAGTTGAGACTCAGTGGTATGAGTCAGTTCTTTGGGCTTCTCTTGTGGCAGTTACATTGTATGCAATATCTAATGGGTTCACAAATGGCACCTGTGTCTCCTTATCTCTGCATCTTTTGGCTTTGTCTTAGATTTCCTCTATCTCCTCATACTCATATTCTTTCCCATTTGTGAGTTAACATAGTTCTAAATGACTGAACATCCATCCAGCTATTTGCCTTTCTTTGTTCAGAGTCAGTCTACCAGCCCTGAGCAAGAAAAAAAGACTTGAAAAATATTAAAAAGCATCCATCCAGTCAGGCAGCTCATGGCCCTGTTCAGGCCATCAATCATGTCATTACCTGCTCTTAAGTGTGAGATGAACGTTTGTGAGAGGAATGAATTGATCTGTGATTTCTTGACTGTATATAAAGTCATAACTGGATTATCAACTAATAAACACCATGAAGTCACACTGTGTTCCTTTACAGAATCAAATGTTGGAATCACCTCCCTAAAAAAAAAAAAAATAGCCCCAAATTGATTTAGAGATCTGCATCTCAAATTTTTGTAGGTGTAGTTTTTAAAAGATTTTTTTTCTTTCTGATGAAGTAATCTTTATTTTAGGGAAAGAAGTCAGATGTCTTCTATAAGAAAATGTAATAAACAGATAACTTTCTGGGAGAATGGAATAACACGTCCTAAACTTTCACAGTGAACTTCAACTTTAGCAAATGGGAAAAAGAAGAAATCTTAAGAAGTTTTGTTTCATGAATGATTAAAGGAATAAAACTCAAAACTATTTTGTGATTAAAACTGACAAAAAGAAAATCCATACTTGAAACAACAATCTGTAGACCCTTTTCTTTTACATTAAATGGGACCCACCCTCACAAACTCCATGTTGGTGAAAGCAAAGAAAAATAAATTTTTCTAGTATCACGGGAGAGACTTGTATCTGTCACTAAAACAGGGTTACAGCTTTGAGTTGTTACAGAAAGCAACTTCATGCTAAAACTTTTTTCTTTTTTAATTTTTTTTAAAGTAGGGAAAGAACCCTGCTAACATCTACTTTCACATACCTAAAATTGCAACACCAAAGGGTGCAGGAGACACAGATACTGTGGATAAAGAAGTATAATATTCAAGTATATGAGGAAGTATCACAAATGGCCACAGAGAAATATATATATATATATTTATATCTATAATACTGTATCAAACAGATGAACGGGGGGGGGGGTGTGAAACTGGTAAGTGTGGACACAAAGCTAGCCAATTAACTGACTTTCTAATCAGACATGAGTTCATCTTAATGAAAAGACCTCCCTTCCTAAGAGATGCACGTTCACATCACTTTCTCAGCCACACTCAAATGCTTTGTAGCTATTTTTAACTAGTTAAATAATTTATTGGATTCACTTATACTCTGCTATAATTATCCAGGTCCCAAATGTCAATAACTTAATTGAATCTTTCTTCCCATTTATACAAAATAACACTTTAAAAAAACAACAATCTGGTTACTTCTTCTTACATGCTCTCTCCTTCCTGCATTCAGACTTCTTGATTTCATTTAACCTGTAATAAGTTACAATGGGCAGTTTTTCATTGTTTGTTTGTTTGTTTTTCACCCATAAACAGAATATTGAAATAAGCAGCATGGATTTTAACAAGGCCCTTCAGAATGTAGTGGATTAGCCTTCAGGCACATTAAAGGTAAAAATGCAATTTTTAAAATCATGATACTCCATGCAAAATAGAGCAGAGCAAAAATAACTGTCCGATTGTACCCATGTAAAGCCAGTGTCTTCCTGTTGCAAATGGAAATCAAGTTCAATTTCTGCATATTCTATTATTTTTTTTAAATATAAAATTGTAACAATTACTACAGTTTGGGAATGAGATTATTTATTTTATGGTTTGTAAAGAATGACTCTAACACCTGCTCAGAGCCCACTCCTGCCAAGCGCTCATGCCTAAATATTACCTCAATGCTAAATGGGAACTCTTCACAAGCCCTGCTTAGCGAGAGCTGCAGTGACATCCTCGGCTAAGGTGGCAAGCTGAGGGGATTCAAGCAGGTTGATGCTTCCAGAAGAGGACACATTGCTGAGGCGTCGGGGTGATGCCACACTAGATCTGCTGGGGGACTGCGTGATGATCTCGGCCCCGTGGTCCACACGAGCCTTGGCGTGCTCTCTGAAGTTCAACTTTTGGCTGTCAATCTGTTGAAGACAAGTTTCAGCTCTTGTTAACTCAAACATCTGAGGTTAGTCCTGGCTCTTCCTTCCTATCCCGAAGCTGATGTAAATGTGACTTCCTTGCAGGTTAGTTACCCCACTTCCTATTTGTCTAAGCCTTCAATCTCTCATTTTAATGAAGAGTATTTAAAAAAGATTCCACAAAATGACGAACGAGATTCGCTTATGACCTTGTCGCTTACCTTGACATTACCGCCTCCAGGTACATGGTGAGCATTGTCAAGTGAACCAACCTTAGCTTGGGCCTTTTCTTTGAAATCCAGTTTTACACTCTCAATTTTCACACGCCCACCACCTACATATGAGAGGAGAAAGGTTTAAATTGCTAAATACTTTGCTAAAGGAAAAATCTTCTTTTTGTGGTGACCATTTCTTCAAAATGATGACAGCAGATGGACTGTGTTGGTATTATTAGGGTAACTGAGTTAACTGGGATTCATACAAACTCTGTCAACATCACATCAGAACCTTCCCTATGCTGTGGCTCCTGCAAGATCTCTAGCATGACCAGATTCCATCATCTCAGTCACGGTACCACTCGATCTCATTGAGGGTCATCCTTTCGGTCTCTGACCCATCCGTCACCTTTCCCAAGGACAGCCCCCTCTTACAGCCTAAAGCATGTAAGAGGAAGTTTCACCATCATTGTCTCTAAGGAGTGTCTCTGTTGCAGTCCTTTAAGACAGACTTGTTTGTTCATAATACTCCCTGGACCATAGATGCAAAAGGAATCTTTCAGAATTTCCAGGCCATATCATTTGTCCTACAGTAATCAAGATAATGGTTACTCATGGTGGACAGTGTTTGGTGGAGCTCCCTAATTAAAACAAGCTTGGAAGCAGGGGTGGCATCCACTTCTGAAAAGGCTTGCCTCCAGAAACTCTATGAACAGTGCTCAGGTCTTTTGTTCATAGGGTCAATGTGAGTCGTCTATGACTTGACGACACTTAACAACAACACAACAATCAAGATAATGGTTGTTGCTGTTGTTGAGTGCCGTCGAGTCATAGGCGACTCACAGTGACCCTATGAATGAATGTCCTCAACACTTGTGTGTGTGACTTTCATCCTTTCTCCGGTTCATAGGGTTTCCGGAGGCAAGCTATTTAAGGAAGTGGATGCCACTCCTGCTTCCAAGCTTGTTTCAACTGGGGAGCTCCACCACTGTCCACCATGGGTAACCGTTATTGCATTTGGCACATCAGTGTCACAGTGTTCAGTTTCACAGCGACCACAAGTTACCTCTGTACCGCAAGTGGACACATGAGGGCTATATGACCTAGAAGACAGTTCGAACAAAAACAATGAAAAACATGCTTAGTCACATCGCTTTCGGTCCACTAGGCCAACTAGTCTCTCTCTGTGTTGTTACAACAACAACAACAATAAGATAATAATATCTTTTTTTTAAAATTCTCTTGTTGTTTTTGTGTATTGTCCAGTCAGAACAGTCATAGCCAACCCTCCAGTGGGTTTTCAGACCCAATAAATGGCAAGGGAGGAGATTGCCCATCTCTCTCCTGCAAAGCACCTGATGGATTTGAACTGCATATGTGAGGTAGGCAGCCCAGCTCCTTACCACTAGGTTACCTAGGTGAATACCTTTCTCCTTTACCTGTGTCTAACTTACGAAATCAGGTGTTAGTGGGGTTTCCTTGCCTTTTTCTTACCATAGTGTAACCAAAACTTCAACAGGATGTAATGAAAACATCCTATCTCACATTTCTAAAAACTGGAACATTTAGTTTCTTAAGCCCAAGGGGAACTCTTTATTGAAATGAGACTCTTTATCCTTCTTTAAGGTAACAGATAATTTTTTTCTGATTATTTTAGGCTGCAGATATGTCCATTTGTAAATGTTCATCACTGATAGCTTGATTGATAATATGACTCAGGAGCCAAGTCATTTTTTATTATCAAGCTGTAAGAGCACTTAATTTAATCAGCAAACCGAGTAAAAAGAAATGAATCTTTGGAGAGCTTATCTGACATCAATTTCTGAGACCAAGTTTTAACCATAACATTTCCCCTGATTGTTAACTAGTCTGTTTGATGAGGATGTGTTATGTCACATTGAAGTGTGACCTTCTTTGTCTTTGCATGCCTTGATTCAATGTTATCCTACACTGAGCAAGATTTTGTCATTTTCACGCCTGCCAGTGGTCATTCTGAAGGCCCACTGAAGTATTTTTTTATCCATCTTCCACTCAGAGATTTGCTTTATCTTTTATGAGCAAGTATTTTTTTATCCATCTTCCACTCAGAGATTTGCTTTATCTTTTATGAGCAACTTAGTTTTGGAAGCATACAAATCCCCCTCAATCCCCAGGAAACTTAATGGTGAGTTATAACGACCCTCTTTTAATAGCACATAATTCTTGAGATTCTGACAGGTAAAATTTATGAGGGATTCTATGGAGATAAAGAAAATAAATTTGTTTTAGATTCCTGATGTATATACATCACAACAAGCTAAAGTAGTAGTCTGTTTAGGATTTGTTTATCTTTTAAGCCTTATGTTATTTATCTGTCCAAGATCTGTTTTTGTTGCATGCTGCTGAGTTGGAAATGACTCAGAGCTGACCCTTCAGGAGGTTTTCAGAGGTAGTTAATTGTATGGGTGGAGACTGGCTGTTCTCCTCCTACAGTGAGTCTGGTGGATTCAAACCACATGCCTTTGGGAGAGCATCACACCGTCTAACCACTGGACCATCAGATAAAACACTTAGATAAAATATTAACACACAGTTGGCTGGCCATGGGTACATTGAAGCTATATGATTTGATAGGATTATATTCTGAAGAAATACGTAATCATTTTTCTCCTGAAGATTCACCAGCCCCCATTGCTCCAGTTACTGGATCAATCCATCTCATACTGGGTCTTCCTCTCCTGAGCTGTCCCTCCACCCTTCCAAGCATAATGTCCTTCTTCAAGGACTACTCTCTCCTGGCCACAAGCCCAAAGTATATAAGATGGAGCTTCAAAATCCTAGCCTCCTAGGAAAGACTTGGTTTCATCCTCTCCAAGACAGACCTATTTGTTTTTTTGGCAGTTCATAGTATGTTTAAGACTCTTCTCTAGTACCACAATTCAAAGGCATAGATTCTTCTGTCATCCTTAGTCATTGCCCAGCTCTCTGATGCATTGCAAGTAACTGCAAAACTTTGGCCTGGATTAGGCACATCTTAGTCTCTAGACTGATATCATTGCTTTTCAGCACTCTGGAGAGGTCCCTGTCAGCAGATTTCCCCCAATGCAATTAATCATTTTATTTCCTGTCTACCAGTGTTAAGAATGTTGATTCTGGAGCTGAGCAAGCTGTACTTGTTAGCAACCGCAATCTCTTCTCCATCCATCATTGTGCTGCCAACTGGCCCAGTGGTGAGAATCTCTGTCTTCTTGATGTTAAGCTTCAATCCATATTGAAGACTACAATACTTGACCTTCTGTAGCAAGTGCTTCAGGTCTTTCTCAGTTTCAACAAACAAAGTTGTGTCATCTGTGTAATGTAGGTTGTTGATAAGTCTACCTCCAATCCTGATGCCACATTCCTCTTCATAAATCCCTGCTTCCCGAATGTACTATAGGGTTTTTCTTAAATGTACCATAGCTTTTTTACTAATTGAAGTTAATATTTTAAAACAAAAGAGGTTCAAATGATTGGATAAAAACCTGATGTGATTTGTAAATCACTCAAATTACAATAAAACTTAAAAGAAAAAGACATTTACTAGCAGCTCTTAGGGAAACACATTTGCCTTAAGTACTATGCTTTTGGTTCTGACCAATTCTTACATCTATCAGGACCAGAACTTGTGAAAAACTATAACCTTTATCAAGTTTTGTAAATGCTAAAGTTAAGGTTTGAAGTGCAGAGATTTCAATGTGTGCCCTGAAGTGTTGGATGATTTTCTTTAGTTTCTCCTTAGATATTCTACATTTCAAAGGAACTTTCTAAAAAAGATTGCTGTTGTCAAGGATCATTATGCTAGCATGTCTTTATGAATTTAGTCATCTGATTCAGTTATTACAGAAGAGCTAGATTTAGTAATAGGTGGGAGTTTTATGACAATAGTCTTTTATGACCATAAATCATCACGAAGTATTTCCTTTTCTACAGAAGATATTTTTGTGCATTCAGTCCCGAGACAAATTTGACTAACTCTATGTAGACTGTCTGGAATTAAAGTACCCAAGATTTTCTTTTATAGTCTGGAAGAAAATAGGAAACTATGGTAAAATACCATTAGCATGCTCTTGACATGGCAATGCAAGGTCAATAAAATGTTTGTAGGCTTGAGTTACATATGGGTGAAAATAAAAACATTCACTAAGAGAATTCCTGCTATCTTTTTAATGACAGAGAATGGAATTAAGTAACTGAAAGATTTGAACTTCCTGCTTTTGAGTTGACAGTGAAACTTCCTACCCACTAGGGACCTAAAATGGACTATATATTTCAAAAGTGTTCCAGTAAGTTTCCATTTGAAATATATAGTCTTTAAATATTAAGTACAGTTTTTATGCTTTGTGCATGAAGCCTAACTCATCTTCAGTGTACTGTCATCTTCCAACCTTGTTCATAATTGCACTTATGAGTTGTAGTCAACTCAACCTAACAGAACTAACATGTTAATGACCTGTTCATGCTAAATTGGCTCACTTGCCCACATAGAAAACGCCTTGAGATGTCAAAATAAATTTTTTAAATGCATACATATTAGAAATTTAATAAATACTGGAAATAGCGACATTTCATAACAGCCTTCTAACTATCTGACAACACAAAATACATCTTTGTAACTTCTTAAATGCAACTTACCATTTCTCACTCTATAAAGGTTATTTATTTACCTGGCCTGTGGCGGATGTTCTTCAGAGAGCCGCATTTGGACGTCACGTGGCTCAGATCTATCTTCTTGGTAACAATCTGTACCTGTGTGAACCACATAAAATTCGCTTGAAATAGTTTCGAAATGGACAAACTCTCCACACTCAGATATAAAAGCCAGAAGCACATTCTAAACACAAACAACAGCCACATATCCAGAAACCCAAACCAAGAGCTACATACACACGCGCGGGGAAATGTTTCCCACGTGTTTGGACTGGAAAGAATGACCCAAGTAGAAGAAAACCCTGCAACAGAAGATCTTGTTAGCAGAAAACAGGTCATGCCACAAGGGATCGAAACACCTGGATTAATATAGCAAGCTTCCACCCAGAAAACCAAGCCACAGTGTTAAACCTTTCTATAAGCCAAGAGCCCTTAAAAAAAAAAGAGGAATTATTCTTTAATAATTTTTAGTTAAATGTGAACAACATTGCTTATAGATATAAAATTAACTCTGCTTTAAATAATAAAAGAAAGCCACAAAGGTGTTTTCCTAAAATTTTATCATATATTGACTGAATTGGGGTTTTTTTTCCTTGCTATAAACTTATAAAAATGACAGCAAGACTTTTTCTTTGTATTGACAGTGCTTCTTCTGCCATAGCTGAAGCAGTGCTTCTAAAAGTGTTCTCCCTTGTTCCCCTGCATCAGAAGATATTACTAAATCAGGCACTTAGTGAAGGGACCGCGGCATCTGTTTATTTTAAAATGTGAATCCTCAATAGAGGAGAAGTTCAGGAATGTCATTTAGGAGGCTTGAATCTCTCCTACTTACTTTGTTGGTGTACACCATCGAGTCCAACTTATGTTTATGGTTTTTATTTATCTCACCTCATACATTTTCACTGAGGTGTTTTGATCAGCAGCATCTTCAGCACTGGATAGTTAGGTCCATGCTTAGATACCTGCATTTATTTACCATAATGAAGCCTGCTTCTCTGAGCGTCATACACTGTAGGGACCACATAAGGGAAAGAGGGGAAGGGCAGCCACATCGATGCATACACCGACTCTGAGGCATCCTTTGAGAAGCCCAGCAACGTGGCTTTGGACTTGGCACTACGTTGGAGTTACTTTGAGTGTCAGGAGACAGCTCCTAGTAGAGTGCTCCCTCTCCTTTCTTCACTCTATCTCTGGCCAAGGCGAGGAGCAAAGAGCTAAGAGTCAAACAGATGAGGATTCTGGATTCAGTATCCTGTCAATTACTTGAGTTTCAGCTACCAGAATCTGTTCTGTCGAACAGAGAAAGTCTGCCTAGCTGATGTTTTGGAATGATTTTTATGAAGAACTACCCTTATGTTGTCTCACTCTAGCTTGCATTCACCTGACCGTTTCACCTCTATTTGAGAACCCTGGATGTATCTTTTGCTGCTTCTCATAGACTATTATTTCCACTAAATGAAAGAGACAGGAACAATCCTGTCGAGACAGCGTGTACACTGGGACTTGAAGCCTTTCACTTTGAATTATAGATGAAGCATGCTTCAGCAGTTCTGTATTTTTCTAAATGATATCCTAACTCTCATAAATAATGAAGCATTAAAGATTGACTCTATACACGTTGGGTACTTTCAAGTATATCAACCTTTGTCTCAAGGGTAATTTAAATGCAGCTACAGAAGTGTGTGCCTTGCTGACTTCTGCAGGGGAGTAGAAACAGCACAAGGAAATACCTCCAAGCTGAAGGCCAACATACAAAATTGCCAAATGGCTGGACTTGCCATTCATTTTGAAAACCATGGTAGCAACACCAGGGTTCTCATTCCCTATGAACAATGTATTGTTCATTGAGGAGCTTATGGGGAAGGATGGGAAGCCCATCAAGGAAGATGCAGGACTGAGAAGACATCAGACAGGGTGGGTGTGTGGAGCAAAAGTGAGGAGGAGTGAGTGTGCTGGGAAAGAGGTGCAGAAGACATGGTGCTGTCTGTGCAGGTGGCTCTGTAAAACCGGGACAGCTTTCCAGCACAAACGTCTACTTACATTTCCGCCCCCGGCACAATGTGTGATGTTATCCTTGGAACCACATCTGGATTGAACTTTGCTAAAATCGATCTTCTTGTTTAAAATTCTAACCTAAAAGGAATTGGGAGGCAACTTCACTATGCATTTTTCTTCCAACATGCTGGGTCAAAGAATAGGTAGTGTCAAAGAGGTTTTATCTATATACTCACTAAAGAGATAAAAAACACTAACACTGGAACTTGAGAGCAGATCTGCCATGTAAATATGACCCTCGACCCCCTGCAAACTCAAGAAGAGATACTCATAAGTGTTAAGTGCTTCTACTGTAGATAGGTATGATCTAGAAACAATCAAAGGACAAAGTGAATAAAATGAAAACTTGCATCATCCTGATGGGGAGCTTTCGACAGGAAAATCAGGAGTCAGATCCATTATCTAGAAGTTCCAGTAGAGTATGTAGTTCAGCCTAGAATCTTTATGAGTATCTGAGTGTCCTCCCTCTCTCAAGCCTCACAATGTCAGGTAGCAGAATTATTAGACACCTTACACAAGGGACTTGACTGTCCGTTTGGTTCACATACAACAAGTGGGGACCATAATTAGTCTATTGTGAGTGTTATAAGTCGGGGCTCACATTTCTGAAGATACAAGTGCTCTGGTGTCTCAGGAAGGTTAGCTATTCTGTGAAAAGGTCTGCCGTTCCCTTAGTGTGGTCAGTATAGAGACCTTCTTTCTACTCGTAGAGGTGAGAAAACCAAAGCCCCTTAGCTGACTTGCCCTCATACATGTAATGTCATTCCAGATCTTTGCTGAGTCCAGGAAAGTTGAAGGTAGGTGCCCTAATTTTATTTTCAGGAAATCATTCAACTTCAAGGCATTGACAAATCCAGATCTGGAAAGACATTACTAACTCGAATTATTCCACCACTCCCATCCCCAATTCTAAAGTGAAATCTTGTTTTTAATGCTTTAGGGGATATTTACGCTTTCATTTAAAAAAACGGTAACAATAACAACAACAACAAAAAAACCCAAAAGAAATCTATCTTTGGTATACAGCTGTCTCTAAGAATGATATTGCATTCCTCAAGAATTTGAAAAAAAAAAAAAAAAAGAGTCAGAAATTCAAGAGGACAGTTACTCCTGAACTATTTTAAACGAAACAAAACCTAAACGGCAGTGCCTGTCTAACACTGACAAGATAGCTTGTCCCTTACAGGGAAATGTCACTGACAGCTTTCATAAGCAACCTAAAGGAAGGGCCTCCTGTCAAAATGTGAATTCAGAAGGCATGATGATTGGGTTAGCCTTTAGGGTATGAAAAAATAACAACTTCTAAAAAGCAATAGTAGTACAAAGAGTCTAACTCTAACAATAAACATGCTCTCAACATAAGAGTTTTACACACACTGTAGTTCTAGTCAGTTTTAGCTAGTATGCACTAGTAGATAAATGTTCAGCAAGTAACTTTTATTTATTATTTCTAATAATCATAATTTCAATTCTTTTTAAGTGAGTTTAATTAGCTTCTCTATGAAATGAGATTTACCTGAAACCTTTTTCTCAACCTTAGGAGTGAAGAACATGTGATATTTTGTTTACAGATTTTAACTCAGCAATCATTTGCATGCCAATCAAGCACTTCATCAAGTGATCAAAAACTAAATGCTAAATCTGATTCCTTGCAAAAGTGGGAATTCTACATTCATTTGACTTTAGTCAAATGCTTTAGTCAAAAAGCTTTGACTTTAGTATTTAATAAATTTTGTTTGATAATTTTCACAACAAATGATTCAATCCCAAAATGGTCCTGTTGTCAGCAGTATTTAGAGATAGCTAATTTAGTATCTTAGAAGTCCTAGAATGTAAATGCTGACAGCTGTAGATTTTTCTTAGAGGGTAAAGATTTTTTAGTGGCATGACTATTGTTGTTAAGTGCTGCTGAGTTGACCATAGCTCTTAGTGACCCTGTGATCCTATCGTGCTCTGTTCTATGACCTCCACCATGGTCACGCCCGCGGCTGCTGCGGGATGTCACTCCTCAATGGGTGCTTTCCTATTGAAATGACTATATGGTCCTCTGTGGATGCTAAAAGACTGTTCTCAGTCATTTCTGCTCAACATATAATCCAACATACTGGACAGGCATTGGGCATGCATTAGTAGTGTACACTTAATGTATTACCATATTTGAAAAGAGTATTGTTGTATAAAGACCTTGTCTAAAATGAAGAAACATACTACAGTATTCATATAAATGATCTCTGCAGACTCAACATACTGCTTGATGACTGAAAGAAACAAATTGTTTTGGGCACAAGGTGTTTGATGGTCAACAGCTTTGCTTTCTGGGTGAAAGCCTTCCATCTAAGCACTCACTATAACATTTACATACTCAGAGAATAACAAATTATTCTGAAAATCTCTGGGTCATTTACAAATAATCAATAACTTAAAACTAACTCTATAAATACCGGTAGTCAACAATAATTTAAATAGAAAAACAAATGACGCCGTGAAAAGTAAGATTACATTCCTGTTCTTTTCTCCATAAAGCTTGGAACTGTCACTCTCTGGACTTTACAGATGGACTGAAATAAAGATTCATTTCTTATGAAGATATATTTTTTCTTCTTCTTTAAAAAAATTTATCTTATAGTGGTTCACTTACAAAGTTTGAATATACTGTTTTTCACACCAGACCTTTCTCATTTCCTTCACCCCCATACCCATCAAATTGTGTGATCCTATGATCAACCACTCCCACCCCCCCACATCCTCACCCCTCTGCTGCCACTCCCCACCCCTTGGATCCTCATACTTATTCTACAATAATGGTTTTATACATTATTTTTCCTTATGGGACTGATGTAGTTCACTCAGCATAATGCTCCCCAGTCCTTCTCAAGTTAGGTAGTAATTTACAAAATCATTGCTATTGCGTGCTGTGTGGTATTCCATTGTATGAATGCACTATACTTTCTCAATCCATTCTATTGTGATTGGACTAATGAAGAGATGTTTCACTCAACTTTTGTTTTTTAATATATTAATTCTCAGGAAAAGTATCTTCATCT